AGCTGACATCACAAGAGGACAACTGGTTCTTCCTGTACTCTTGGCAAACAGCCCAGTTTACTACAGGTGGCCTCAGCAATGACTCACTTTGTACTCCTCACTTCAGAGTCTAGCCTTGTTTAGCACATTATCCTTTATCAAGAAGTAAAGAAACAGAACTGCTCCCAGATTTTCCTTTACTCACCATCAAAAGAGACCTCGAACTGCCACTGCATGTTTGAGGTTAAACTCCCTCCAAAAGACTATTTGGACCTTGAGATCTTGTCTGGAGGTTCTAGCAGGGGAGCACAGCTACCCTTGACCTAAAAAACATCCTCTATCAGGGAAAGTTGTCCTCCTTCACCCAACACACAGCTTTTGGAGGGACACACGTGGAGCTGTGAGGGTGAAATGGAACATCCACCTAGCCATCCAGATAAGCCAAATCAACCCTGGTGATCAATGCCGCAGCCAGATCACCTTCACATCCCGAAAGACTACTTGGAAAGAGTACATTGCCCAGTAGCTGCAGAAAAAGAGAATGAATTTTGGGTTTTTGCGGATTTAGATGACTACTCCAGAAGAGGGTGTTTTTGGAAAACCATAATCAGAAAGGGCAGGTCCAGTGGATACTGAATGGACAGGGAATCTTGTAAAAGACTGTACAACAAAGGAAAGCATAGCTGGACACTGTGGCACATGCATGTATCCCAGCAACTCAGAAAACTGAGGCAGGAGAATGGCAAGTCAAGTCCAACCTCAGTAGCTTTGCAAGACCCTGTCTCAAAAAAAAAAAAAAAAAAAAAAAAAAAAAGACTGGAGATGTAGCTAGTCCTAAATCACCCTGGGTTCAATTCCAGTACTAAAAATAAAAGAACTTTTTGTCTTCAGTGTATCCCTGAAGACAAAACAGCCTAAAACACTGCTTCAGGATTCTAACTCAACTCCAGCTCCAGGATCCAGGAAGCATGAAGGGAAAAGCAGGAACCACCAACAACCTGGACCTCTTGCGCCATCTATTGCCTTGTGTGGATATTGTTTATTTCTTCCCCCAAATGCTGCCCCCCAAAGCAGTGTTCTGACAGGAACCAACACAATTTCCCTGTATCTGTTTCTTAGGACACACCCCTTTTTTAATGTTTATCTTTTTCCTATCCTCTCCGCTCCCCTCAAAAAAAATAATCCCTTGAAACTCCTTTTTTTTTTTTTAAGGAATTGTCCACATACTTTTCTTAAATTTTTTTTTAGTTGAACACAATACCTTTATTTTATTTATTCATTTTTATGTGGTGCTGAGGGTTGAACCCAGCACCCTGCACGTGCCAGGCGAGTGCTCTACCGCTGAGCCGCAGACCCAGCCCCTGTCCACATGCTTTTTTTTTTTTTTTTTTTTAGAATTCTATTTTTTTTTTTTTTGAGAGAGAGAGAGAGAATTTTAATATTTATTTTTTAGTTCTCGGCGGACACAACATCTTTGTTGGTATGTGGTGCTGAGGATCGAACCNAGAGAGAGAGAATTTTAATATTTATTTTTTAGTTCTCGGCGGACACAACATCTTTGTTGGTATGTGGTGCTGAGGATCGAACCCGGGCCGCACGCATGCCAGGCGAGCGCGCTACCGCTTGAGCCACATCCCCAGCCCCATCCACATACTTTTTAAAAATATATATATATTTCTTTGGTTGTAGTTGGACAACAATACCTTTATTCCAAACATTTAGTTTTATGTGGCACTGAGGATAGAACCCAGGGCCCTGCGAGTGCTAGGTGAGCACTCTACCACCGAGCCACAATCCCAGTCCCTGTCCACATACTTTTTTAAAAAATATTTTTTCTAGTTGTTGATGGATCTTTATTTTTATTTATTTACATGCAGTGCTGAAACTTGAACCCAGTACTTCATACATGCTAAGCAAGCACTCTACCACTGAGCCACAACCCCATACCCTTTGAAACTTTTTAAATTATTACCCTATCTTCTGCTTTTCCTGCACTCCCTTCACATAATCTGCTCTAACATTAAACTTAAGTTCCTATGTAGCACAAGCAGTAGAGCTAAATTATTGACAAGCAGGGGGAAAAGAAGTGATGGATTCAGTATGAAGATACATGCTTGTAATTCTACCCACTCAGGAGGCTGAGGTAGGTGGCTCTTAAATTTAAGGCCAGCCTCTGCCACTTAAACCCTATTTCAATTTATAGGGCTGGAGGTTAGAGGGCTCAGTGGTAGAGAGCCACTGAGTTTAATCCCCTGTAACATAAAAAGAAAAAATAAAAGTGACAGAGAAATCAACTGAACAGGTTTCTTGGCATCAATTTATGACCTCTGGTCTATACACACTACTTTCCCTATCTAATAAGTCATGTTTGTTCAACTCATTAAAATCTAAACAGAGGGGCTGGGGATGTGGCTCAAGCGGTAGCGCGCTGGCCTGGCATGTGTGGTTCGATCCTCAGCACCACATACAAAGATGTTGTGTCCGCCAAAAACTAACTAAGTAACTAACTAACTAAATAAATAAATATTTAAAAAAAAAATCTAAACAGAATCTGAACTAGAATGCCTTTCTATAAGGTCTAGTGATTTCTCAGTCACCTGTTATGTTCTGAAGCTTATTTTCAGTTCATCTACTGTCTAGTCTGCGGTATTTGAGGGCTTGAGCCACATCCAAGTCTTGGCTTCTGAGTCAAACACTGACTTGTTTGTCCTCTGATCATGCTTTCTATGTCCTGTCATTTTCTTCCCTGACCACATTCCCCCAACCCTCCAACCCCAACCCCCGTACTAAGGATTGAATCCACTAACCTACATCCACTAACCTACATCAGGAGCCCTTTTTGTTTTTATTTTGAGACAAGGTCTTGCTACATTGCTAAGGCTGGACTCAAACTTTCCAGACTTCTGAGTAGCTGGGATTACTGGTGTATACCAGCTTCAGCTGCCTTTTTGGTTAAAATTCATGTAGAAATGCATGACCTCCTATTGTGAATGTTGTTTTGGTTTAAGTGAGGAAGAATAGGCAATCTAATGCAGACATGTAGTTGGAAAAGATGTCAGCCATTTTTCAAGTAAATATTACTCCATGATAAAATTTAGCATTTTAATTCACAATTCAACCATGTAAATTCTTTTTCTAGCATGAATTACTGTGCTTTTGTTTTGTTTTGGGGGGTACTGGAGATTGAGCTCAGGTGCACTCAACCACTGAGCCACATCCCCAGCCCTTTTTTTTTTTTTTTTTTTGTATTTTATTTAGAGACAGGGTCTCACTCAGTTGCTTAGCACCTAGCTGTTGCTGAGGCTGGCTTTTGAACTCCTTATCCTCCTGCCTCAGCCTCCAGAGCAGCTGAGATTACAGGTGTGTGCCACTGTACCCAGCTCAACCATTTTTTGTATGCAAGAAGTGTTTTATGCTTACTTTTCACCTGTCACATAAAATATTACAGATAGATATTCAATGTCTGAGAATTAAAAATAATTTTTACATTCTCATCAAGAACAATTAAAGGTGAAACTTACTTTTTTTTTTTTTTTTTTGGTAGGGAGCATTGCATCCAGGAGCAATTTACTGCTGAACTATAACTCCAGTACTTTTTTTAATTTTTTTTTTTTTTAAAGAAAGAGTGAGAGAGAGTGAGAGAGAGAGAGAACTTTTTTTAATATTTATTTTTCAGTATTTGTCGGACACAGCATCTTTGTCTGTATGTGGTGCTGAGGATCGAACCCGGGCCGCACGCATGCCAGGTGAGCGCGCTACCACTTGAGCCACATCCCCAGCCCACTTTTTTTAAATTTTGAGACAGGGTCTCATTAAATTGTTTAGGGCCTTACTAAATTGCTGAAGCTGTCCTTGAATTTGCAATCCTCCTACCTCAGTCTAGCCTCACTGGGATTACAGGCTTTCCCTACCATGCCTGACCCTGTCTCACATCTTAAAATCTGGGTAATAATACTAATGTTTTAGAATTGTTATGATAGCAAAATAATAAATGTATAGCACTCAGAGCAAAAGGAGAAATACCATCAACCTTTTTTAGTCAATATACCTTGGATGTGATGGCTGTCAACTTATCTAACAATACACAAAATTCTATCATTTTTTTTTTTTTTTTTTGCAGTGCTGAATAACAAACCCAGGACCTCATGCATAAAAAGCACTCTACCACTGATATACACCCCCAGCCCTGTAAATATATATCTTCAGGATTCTCTACTTGCCTACACCTTTATATTAGTAGGGTTTTGTTTGTGTGTGGTATATGCATAAAAAAATTTACCATATTAACCAGATTTTTTTTGTTTTGTTTTTTAGTTTTAGGTGGACACAATATCTTTATTTTATTTTTATATGGTGTTGAGGATCGAACCCAGCCAGGCGAGCGTGCTACCGCTTGAGCCACATCCCCAGCCCCAGATGGGGTTTTTTGTTGTTGTTGTTTGTTTCTTTGGGTTTTTTCCCCCAACCCACCTCATAATAGGAATCAAATCCAGGCCCCTACCCAACCACTGAAATACACCTTCAACCTCCATTTTAACGAGTTTTTCAGTTCACTGCCATTAATTACATACCCATTATTGTGTATAGGTAGTATTTCATTTTAGCCAATTCATATAGAAGCAATTCTTTCCAGTATAAATCAAATGTTTCTTTCACATGCGAAAGGACAGATCCAATTCCTTTTGAGACTTCTTGTGTTTTTCTTTTCCTATTTTGCATAGTTGTTCCTATTCGTTTATGTGCCAGTTTCTCTACAGACAGAACGAACCAACTGAAGTAAACTTTCGAGAAGTAAACTTTCTATTTCTTAGGAAAGTTTCCAGCTACACACCCACAAACTTGTTTCTATAACTTACATTACCCAGCAAGATCCCGCGGGAGGGCTCTAGTATCGCGAGAAGCCTAAAATCCCGGTAGGACTGTAGTTTAACCTCAGTAGATCCCAGCAGCCTTAGCGAATTTCCAATGCCCATATGCTAGTCGTTGCGCAGGCGCAATATGCCTACCTCGACTTCCGGTCCCTCCTGGGTATAAATAGAGATGCTTTGGGGTAGTCGGTCTTTTGGAGCTACTCTACCATTCAGCGCTGTTTGAGTTGGTAAGTGCTTTTACCCGCGTGGTTCCTCGGCCTGATCTGTTACTTTGGGTAGGCGTTCAACATTCCCTGAAGATCGTGTTATTTAGAGGGATTGCCTTTAGCTGCATCCACTCAAACTACATTTAGGCATGCGATGGGGCTGAGCAGGATGTGGGCCGCGCAGCCCCAGAAGTTTTTAAGGACTGCTATCCGGGTGTTAATTGCTGCCTGGTACATGATCCGGAAAAGAATTGCATATAGACGTTTCGTTCCTATCCGCGTTTTAAAAATTTTTCCAAATTTCGGGCTGGGGTTGTGGCTCCATGGCGGAGCGCTTACCTAGGATGCGTGAGGCACTGGATTCGATCCCCAGCACCATATTTTTAAAAAGAACTAAATAAAGGCATGAAAGGAAAAGATGTATTCAGGGCTAAGGTTGTGGCTCAGCGGTAGAGCGCTCGCCTCGCACATGCAAGGCCCTGGTTTCGAAGTATGCAAGAAAAAAGTTTCGTGGCAGGCTTCTTGTAGCCCTACAATTTTTTTTTTTATTATTGGGGCAGTTTAGCGATACTAAGTATTTGATCGGTTAATTAGGAGATGACTTACTTTTTTTTCTATCTTTGTGGGGCTGGGGATTGAACCCAGTGCCGCTATCAACTAGAAACTGATAATTGGTACAGTGTTTTGTAAGTTAAATGAATTACAGTGACGGTCCAACGTGGATACTCTCGGGAGGTCACTCTCCCCGGGCTCTGTCCAGGTGGCATAGGGGAGCATAGGGCTCTGCCCCATGATGTACAGTCCCTTTCCACAACGTTGGAGATGAAGCTGGGCTTTGTCTGCACCTGCATATTCCTACGACTTCTCAGAGTCTGTGGACTATGACTGAGGAGACAAACCATGCAGGAAACAAAATATTTTTGATTAGTCCCTTGTTTATGGTAGACCTGCTTTAACCTTTTACTGTATTGATAAGTGAATGCTTTGTTTTGCAGATTCATGATTCCAAATACTTCTTGCTTGGGTAAGTAGCCGATGATTGTTTTTAACAATGTATGCTCATGTTTGTGAAGATTGCTAAGGTATCACATTTTATGTCTTTGAGGAGAGGGTTCTATTTAAAAGTGAAAAGACTTAAAATGGAGTTCAAAGACTAGTTTGGGATTCACTAAAAGCAGTTTCAATCTATCTACAGGTATGGTCAGAGGTGAGAAAAATTAAAGCACATAAGGATGTTAGGACTGTTGGCATTTGTTAGGTATTCCAAACTCCACAGTACTCAAGCATTCCAACGTGGATACTCTCGGGAGGTCACTCTCCCCGGGCTCTGTCCAGGTGGCATAGGGGAGCATAGGGCTCTGCCCCATGATGTACAGTCCTTTTCCACAACGTTGGAGATGAAGCTGGGCTTTGTGTCTGCACCTGCATATTCCTACGACTTCTCAGAGTCTGTGGACTATGACTGAGGAGACAAACCATGCAGGAAACAATATCTAGCATACTAAAAATTTTTTATTAGACTAAGATCTTCGGGATTCTAATCTTGAGTTTATTTTCATTCAGGAGAAGAAGAGCAATATTCAACTTCAGCTGGTAACCTGATAACTTGGTTTGGGATCCTTTAATAAGAGTTTGAAAATCATCTCTTAACGGAATTTGCGTTCCTAGACAATTGTTATCCCAGATTTAAACCTTGACTGCTGACAGAGGCTACCCAGTTCACCAAGTATTCCTGGAAATTAAGGAATTTAAGAAAGCACGGGGGGGGGTGAAGTTAAAATTTGTCATGGTGACTAAGAATATTTGGCATTTTCCAAATTCCAAACAAGACCAGTCATGTTTTCTAACAAATGGACTGCAGAAGCACATGTTGGTATGTCTTAAGCAAAATTCATTATGATAACAGATATCTGAGGCAAGTTAATGTGGATTGAAATAAAAAAACTTGTGAATTGAAATAAATGTGACTGGTTTGTGTGGTTCTTTTTCATGCAGCATTGTTGGGCTTCAGCCAAATTGAATGGTGCTGGTTAACTAAGTTAGATTTCACTGTGGGGTTAACTCAAAAGTAGTATAAGGTCACAAGATCAAGTCCCAGGTTTTTCCCTTCTACCATTTATTTCTTGGGAAAATACATGTTTTTATACATCTCTCCCCACCCATGTATGAAAAGAACAGCTTAAGAGATGAATAGTCCATGTGTACAGCTAGTGTACTTGCTCTATGCTCCTTCCTGAGAGCTTGAAATTGTTGGCCTGCTTCATCATGTTAGAAAGTTAAGTCACAATGGAAGCCTGGCCAAGTATCTGCACTGGTTGCCAGCAGTGTGGGAAGATCAGATGGACCAGAGGGAAACCATCTAGAAGGTAAGATTTGAGGTCACTAGGAACAGGTTTGGTTGTGTGAATTGTATTTGTCAGCCATCCCTGAGTTCATCAGGGAAGAGCTTTGAGGGTAGGTGCCAGTTAACACATGGTTAAACTACCATAGCAGCAGTAGAAGTGATTTACCCGCCCCCCCAATTAAGATAATTTCTCATAATTCAGAGGTGCAGTTACTGCCTAGCATATATGAGGTACTAAATTTTATCCCCAGTGCCTCAAAATCAGACTAGTAGCATTTGTGCCATCTAGGTACATATTTCTGCTTTCATAAGTTATTGAGAAAGGCTGACCAAATACAACTGCCTGAGGATTCTCTGTAGGTGGCTACCAATTTCCTGTTTTTTGAGGAAGCCAGATGAGTCTTCTATTGGAGGACATTCCTTAGTTCAACTTAGTTGAGCAACTACTGGAATGCACTGGTTTTTCTCAACAGTAGATTATTGAGGGCTTTAAGTTTTTCATTCACTTGGTGACTACAGTGCATTTTTCTCCTGAGGAAGTATGAGACATCTATGTTCTCTAAGCCCTACTGTTGTAAAGGTCAGCTTGCAACACTAGAATTTCTAGGTGGCTCTTCTGGGCATTTTCTGAGTGTATTGTTATTTGAGTGGGTTTGATTTCACCATCAGCTGTGGTGACCATCTCTCATCTCTTACTTCCCCACATGGGGACTAAATTTAAGGGCACCTAACCCCTGAGACAGGATCTGGCTAAATTGCTGAGACTGCCCTTGAATTTGAGATCCTCTTCCCTCCAACTTCTGAGTTGCTGGGATTATAGACATGCACTACCATGCCAGCCCCACCTGTAATTCCAGTGGCTTAAGAAACAGGATCACAAGTTTGAGGCCAGCCTCAGCAATGGGTGAGGCATTAAAAAAGACCGTGTCTCAATATACAAAGGGGTGGGATGTAGGTCAGTGGTAAAACGCCTCTGGGTTCAATCCCTGCTACCTAGTGACATTGTTTGAGGGGGCAGGATATTTTGGGGGGTTTTGCTTGTTGGGAATGGAAACCAGAATCTTTTTGGTACCAGAAATTGAACTCTGGGGCATTTAACCACTCAGCCACATCCCCAGCACCCCCTCTTCTTTTTATTTAGAGACAGGGTCTCATTGTTGCATTAGTGCCTTACTAATTTGACAAGGCTGTCTTTTTGTGTTTTTTTAATATTTATTTTTTAGTTTTTGGTGGACACAACATCTTTGTATGTGGGGCTGACTACCGCTTGAGCCACATCCCCAGCCCGACAAGGCTGGTTTTGAACTCCTGCCTCAGCCTCCCAAACTGCTGGAATTACAGGTGTGCACCACCATGCCCAGCTTGAAACCAGGATCTTGTACAACCTGGGCAAGTGCTCCACCACAGAACTACATCCCCAACCCATAATAACTTTGAATTCCATCACTCTTATCATCTCTGCACTTCTGGGTCAAGTTCAATTAAGTTTTTAATATTTTTTAGTTTTCTTTGGACACAACATCTTTATATTATTTTTATGTGGTACTGAGGATAGAACCCAGCGCCCCGTGCATGCCAGGCAAGCATGCTACCGCTTGTGCCACATCCCCAGTCCCTGGATAGGTTTTATTTATGGTTCACATTCAATAAAATAGTGATAGAGTGTGAAAGAAATTAAAGCTGATGTTTGATTCAGAGATAAAGTTATGTGGGCCCAATAAGTCTTAATGGAAGTAGGACTGAATTGGGTCTTAAAAGATATGAAAAATTCTGTTGCTGGACACAATGGTGTAAACCTGTAATCCCAGTGGTGTAGGAGACTAAGGCAGGAGGATCACAAATTCAAAGGCAGCCTCAACAATTTAGCTAGGCCCTAAGCAACTTAGTGAGACTCTGTCTCAAAAAAACTTTTTAGGGGCTGGGGATGTGGCTCAAGCGGTAGTCTGGCATGCGTGCGGCCCAGGTTCGAACCTCAGCACCACAAACAAACAAAGATGTTGTGTCCACCGAAAACTTAACTAAATAAATATATATAAAATTCTCTCTCAAAAAAAAAAAAAATTAGGGGCTGGGGATGTGGCTCAAGCGGTAGCGCGATCGCCTGGCATGCTTGTGGCCCGGGTTCGATCCTCAGCACCACATACAAACAGGGATGTTGTGTCCGCCAAAAACTAAAAAAAAAATAAATATTAAAATTCTCTCTCTTTAAAAAAAAAAAAATTTAAAGGGCTGAGAATGTGGCTCAATGGTTAAGTGACCCTGGGTTCAATCCCTGGTACAAAAAAAAAAAAAAAAAGTAACAAGAAATCTCATTATGTACAATGATAATGCACCAATAAAAAATGTGGAAAGAGGGCTGGGGATGTGGCTCAAGTGGTAGCGTGCTTGCCTGGCATGCTTCAGGCACTGGGTTCGATCCTTAGCACCATATAAAAATAAATAAGTGAAATAAAGGTACTGTGTCCAACTACAACTAAAAAATATTTTAAAATAATAAGAAAAAATGTAGAAAGAAAAATAGTAAAATGAACTATGAAACATTAAAATAAATACATATTTATATATATTATATATGAATGAAGGATTCAGGCTGGAGTGGCGCCACATGCATGTAATCCCAGCTGCTCTGGAAGCTGACATAAGAAGACTGCGAGTCCACCACCCTGGGCAATTTACTGAGACCTATCTCAATTTAAAAGAAGAAAAAAGGCTTAGGATGTAACTCAGTGTAGAACACCCCAGGGTTCAATCCCCAGTACCACCAATAAATAAAATTATATGTATATACATATGTGTGCTTATATACATATGTACATACATATATACTTACTGGGTTTAATCTCCATTATGGCCAAATGTATATATGCGGGTGTGTATATACACATACTTGTATCAAGAATTCAGGTAGTCAGAGCCAAGCACAGTGGTACATGCCTGTAATCCCAGTGGCTCTGGAGGCTGAGGCAGGAGGATCCAGAGTTCAAAGCCAGCCTCAGCAATGGTGATGCTTAGCAAATTAGTGAAACTCTAAACAAAAATACAAAAATAGGGCTGCAGATGTGGCTCAGTGGTTGAGTACCCCTGAGTTCAATCCCCAGTACCAAAAAAAAAAAAAAAAATATATATATATATATATATATACATGCATGAAGAAAGGCACCCTAGTAGAGGGAATAGCCCAGGTAAAGGTGAGAGAGTGGAAATGAATAATGGGCACTTTCAGAGTAGTGTAGCAGGTGATAAAGAAATACGAAATTGGGGCTAGGGATGTGGCTCAAGCGGTAGCGCGCTCGCCTGGCATGCATGTGGCCCGGGTTCGATCCTCAGCACCACATACCAACAAAGATGTTGTGTCTGCCGAGAACTAAAAAATAAATATTAAAAATTCTCTCTCCTCTCTCACTCTCTTTAAAAAAAAAAAAAGAAAATTTACAGCTCAGGGCATTTGTAGCCTTGTGTTCCAAGCACAGATCTAAAGAAGTACTTGTTGAGGGGCTGGGTATAGCTCAGTTGGTAGAGTCCTTGCTTTGCATGCCCAAGGCCCTGGGTTCAAACTTCAATCCTCAGCACCAATGAATTAGAGGAGAGGCCAGAAGGACAGTTTTAGACAAGAGGAGCAGAAATGGAAAAAAAAAAAAAAAAAAAAGAAAAAACAAGGTTTTAAACCTATACTTTTCAGAGAACCCTAATATTGATTGGAAGTTGGGGGAGGGAGTCTAAATCCATGGGAAAGTACTGAATTGAGTTGTGTGGGGCACAGTGGCACATGCCTGTAGTCTCAGTGGCTTGAGAGGCTGAGGCAGGAGGATCACAAATTCAAAGCCAGCCTCAACAACTTGGAGAGAACCTGTCTCTAAATAAAATTTAAAAGAGGAACTGGAGATGTGGCTCAGTCACAATGTGCCCTTGGGTTCAAGCCCTGGTACAAAAAAAAAAAAAAATATTGAGTTGCTGGGCATAACACACACCTATAATCCCAGTAACTTGGGAGGCTGAGTTAGGAAGATGGCAAGTTTAAAGCAGCCTAAGAAACTTACTAAGAAAAATGTTGGGTCTTCTAGATAGAGATGCAGGGTGGTAACTTGGGGTAGACATCAGAACCAGCCCAAATGGGCTGACATGTCAATTAAAAGGTGATAGCCCATGGCTGGGGATGTAGCTCAATGGTACAGAGGTTGCCTGATTCACATAAGGCCTTGAGTTTGATCCCCAGGACCACAAAAAATGTGATGGCCTATCCTTAAGAGCTAGGTCTCCTTCCACCAGTTTTGTGATGACCCTAGGGAACTTACTTAACCTCTTTGAATTTCATTTTCCAACTCATGAAGTTTTTTTTTTAATATTTATTTTTTAGTTGTAGTTGTCAATATCTTTATTTTTTTTATGTGGTGCTGAGAATCGAACCCAGGGCCTTGCACATGCTAGGCTAGTGCTCTACCACTGAGCCACAACCCCAGCCCCACTCATGAAGTTTTTTGAGGAACAAATGAGCCAATGCCCATGGATGTTTCTGTAGTTAACAAAATAGGTAATAACCCTTTTTACAATTAAAGCTAAGTGAATGAGAAGATCTTGAAGACAGAAGACAGAGAGATCAGAGATCCCAGGGTAAAAACTTGGAGAAATTTCACAGTATATCATCCAAAAAAGGAGTTCACKATGGAGGCAGAGGTAAACTTGAACAGGTAAGAGACTCTGAAGGCAGGGAAGTGTTTTGGGGTGGGCACTGCATAGTAGGAAAAATTCAGTTGGAAAATACTCATATGTCCCTCTGGGGCTGGGGATGTGGCTCAAGCGGTAGCGCGCTCGCCTGGCATGCGTGCGACCTGGGTTCGATCCTCAGCACCACATAAACAAAGATGTTGTGTCCGCTGAGAACTAAAAAATAAATATTAAAAATCCTCTCTCTCTCTCTCTCTCTCTCTCTCTCTCTCTCTCTCTCTCTCTCTCTCTCTCTCTCTCTCTCTCTCTCTCTCTCTCTCTCTCTCTCCTCTCTCACTCTCTCTTTTAAAAAAAAAAAATGTCCCTCTGGGGCCAGGAGCAGTGGCGCACTCCTGTAATCCCACCAGCTTGGGAGGCTAAGGCGACTTGCAAGTTCAAAGCCAGCCTCAGCAATGGCGAGGCCCTAAGCAACTCAGTGAGACCCTGTCTCTAAACAAAATACAAAATAGGGCTGGGATGTGGCTCAGTGGTCGAGTGCCCTTGAGTTCAATCCTTGGTACCAAAAGAAAAAAAAAAAAGTTCATCTGGGGATGAGGGTGTAGCTCTGTGAGAGAAGTCATGTTGATCATGTTGTAGCCCCCAAAAAGTTTTTGGAGTTAATGTATAACACAGAAAATACTCTTCTTCAGTATTTTACTCTGATACTCTGACCTGAGAAATCCCAAGACGCAAAGTGGCCCCTGAGAGGTCACCTCAGGGCACACCTGAAATCCTGAAGAACTTTGTTTGCAACCTAAAGAAAAAGGATGTGTTGCCAAGAAAGAATATTATGCTTGATGCTTCACATCTTCAACTCCCAAGCCCAATTCACACCCCATCTTTTTTTCTGGTCTCCCTTCTTCTTCTTGCTCCCCTCTTTCTTGGCTCTTCTTTTCCACATTGTTCTCAAAACTGTTCCATGTCAATGGGAGCCCAGATCCCTCCCCTAGTTCCCCATTGCCCCAGAACAGGGGCTGTACTACTACAAAGACACACAAGACCCACCATCCATCATCAGTCACTCCCACAGGGCATCCACTGCCCCCATCTATATGACAGTTTCGAACTACATCCCTGAGCTTTCCTGGCTRTTACTGCAAGTGTTGCTTCTCCCATAATGCCTTGTACTCCTAGACTTGGAAGGCCACTGCTGAGTCAAAGGGCTCTGTGCAAACTCTTGTCATAACCCTGTGTGGCTACTGAAAATGATTTCTCATCCTCCCCAGAGACAAAAGATCACTTTTTTCTCCGTACAGACCCTTACGCATCAGATTTTCCCAAACAAACCTGGATTCAAGTAGTCACTCCGGTCGCTCGGTTGTCAATCCACTTGTCCCAATTTGGGGCTTCTGAAATACACAACCCCTATAGCTAGGCCAGGTGAGGGAGCCTGGTCAAAGCTCCCTACTCAGGGAGCGAGCCACTCGCACTTTCTGGGGTGGCCGCCAGGGGCCGCCGGGCGCTTTGTTTTCCTTTCTGGCCAGGGTCGGGGCCGGAGGCCTGCAGAGCGCATGCTCCGGGGCAGTTCGCGGCTCGGCCGGTGATCACTGGAGTTCGTTGTAGCCGACCCGCACCAAGGTAGGTCGCCCGGAGACGTTCGGAGAGTCCCGGGGGAGGGAAGCGCGTGAGGCGGCCCCGCGGAGCGCGGTGACCTGGGTCGTTGCTTGCTCGCGCCCGCCGGAGTCGCGCAATGCCGGCCCACGCGAAGCGGGTGGCAGCGAGACGCGGTGTGGGCGCGCGTGCTCCGGCCCCGCGGGCGGCCAACTGGGCCCCGCCTCACCCGAGCCGGGGCCGCGCAGCCCCTCCGCCGCGGCGCCAGAGCGGGCGGGAGATTCAAACGGCCCGGGTGCGGAAGACTGCTCGTGGCCGCGGCGACCTCGCGGGCCCCCGACGCGCCGACCCGCGTGCCTCGCGGCTGGGCGGCCGCCGGGCTGGGGCTGCGTCTCCGCTACAGGGAGAGTGGTTTTGTCCTGCGTTCGTTTGGAGAATGCGGTTTGCACTACTGGGGGAACTCGGCCCCGGAAGGGTCTGCTTTAGAAGCCCAAGGTTGGGGTGGTGAGGCTCCGCTGCAAGGACAGGAACCTCAACGTCAACAGGCACCTCCTCAACTGTTGGCGCGTTAGAGAGGTGTGCCCAGAACTCCGCATCAGTTAAGTCTGTGAACAAATTATTTGCTGGCCATCCATTCTGTGCCGCTCTTGAAGTGCTGGACAACAATGGTGAAAAATCCCATGTGGCCTTTACATCCCTGGGAGAGACTTTGTGAGTGTCCACAGTTATGGTCCCGTGTGGTCACAAAAGTATGCCCCTGGCACCCAGAGCACTGCTGCTGGCAAGTCATTCATCAGAAAAATTAATTGAACTTCAACCATGTGTGACTTGTGTGCCCTAGCTTTAGTGGAACATATGGAGTGTTAACAGGACCCCAAAGAGAGACCCATCAACCCTGCTCAGGAGGGGCAGGGATAGCTTTCCAGGTGAGGTGACTCTTGACTGGGTTTTAATTGAACTGTGGAGGCCAAGTGAGGTGGTGGGGTCAGGGAATCCAGGCAGGGTACACAGCACATACAAAGACATAAATGTATGGGTGAGTGTTGTGATCAAGACCACAGGTGATTTGAGGACTGAAGCAGCTCTGGTACAGCAGAGTCTTGATGGGACTACTTAGAATACAGGACCAAGGAACACTGCATGTGGTAGAGGAGGCAGGGAATGTTTCCCCAAAGAAGGGCATGAGAGTGGAGCTTGGAAAGATGAATTAAGAGTTAATCATTAAGTTTCAGTTACAGACAACACAAGAACAGGAATCTGTTGCCATTGGGCTACCCACCCAATTCCCCTGAACCTTAGTTTCTTATATCTAAAATGTGTAAGTTGTATGTGATGAGGATTTCTAGTGTCCTAAAATTTCCATAAAACAGTGGCGCTAACATCTGGTGAAAGCTATGGTCCCTTTCCCCAGGGAAAAAGGATCAGGGAGGCCCAAGCACAGCTCTGTATACTAAGAGGACCACAGAGAGGAACACTTGGTGTGAAATATGCCAGCTCTGTGCCTGGCATAAGAACAACTCAGCAAATGTTTGTTGACATGGGAGCCCTCCTCCCTTTCCTCCTGGGGACCTTTCACACAAAGAGATTCTTCAGCCCCTGAGTCTGGCAGGCAAGTTCTGCTTCCTGGTGTGGAGGAGGGAGGAGACAGCTGCTATGGTCCCAGAGTGCTTGGTTTTCCATTGCTGAAACCAGGATGTGGTGGGAATTGTAGCAGGAACACCAGGATCCTGCTAGACTGACTATACTGGTGTGCCTACCCACTTCAATCAACAAGTGAGGAAACTAAGGTGGGGGAGGCTCTGGCCCTGGGTGGGGAATGGTCAGAAGACCTGGATTTCCATCCCACCTCTGTGTGGTCTAGGGCACCTTTCTCTGAGCCTCATCTCCTTTATCTATAATAGTGGAGTAATAACTCTTACCTCAGGGCACTCTAGAAAAGGTTGGAGCATTATAGGTACCCATTAGTATACACTGACTCTGTATCTGACTTAATTATTTGTGACTGTGTTTCACTCTTCTCCTTAACTGTAAACTTGAAGATGGAAGGTAGAGCATAGAAAGTGGGAATGTGAACATGATGACAAAAGACAAATCCTTGTTCCCAGTCTAGACTCAGGTTAAGAAAACTTGCAGAGCTGGGTGTGGTAGCACACTCTGTAATCCCAGTGACTCAGGAGGCCCTGGCAGAAGGATTGAAAGTTTGAGGCCAATATCAGTAATATAGCAAGATCCTAAGCAACTTAGATCAGATAAAACAAGGAGTGGGGGATATAGCTCAATAGTATAGCACACCTGGGTTCAGTCCCCAGATTGAAAAAAAGAAGCAGAAAAAGAAAACACTCAGGGGCTGTCGGTATAGTTCAGTAGAAGAACTCATGCTTAACTTGCTTAGGGGCCTGGGTTAGATCCCCAGAACAGTGTAAGGGAGGTAATCTGTAGAAAGAACTGATTTGCACAGTTGAGGATATGCTGGCAGGTAACAGGCAGAGGGCTTCACCTTTTAGAAGGTGCCCACTCCTTCGCAACCCTGCCTCTGGGGCTCATAGGCAACTCAGGTCTGTGAAACTAAAGCCTGTGTGCTTTCTACCACAGCAGGGAGCTGTACCCATTGTCTGGATCTGTCACCAGCCCACCTAGAAAGAAGCTCCAGCTGCCTCATTGTCTTCTCTCTGCTCTCAACCTCCTCTTTCTCAATTGACTTCTACTCTCTGTACCTTCTATTTAGCTAAGCTCATTGGGGGTCTGGGGAGGAATTCCTGGTGTGAAGTGTGCCAGCTCTGTGCCTGGCATAATTGCAACTCAGCAAATGTTGGTTTACATGAAAGCCCTCCTCCTTTCACTCTTGGGGACGTTCACACAAAGAGATTCTTCAGTTCCTGAGTCTAGCAAGCAAGACCCTGAGTCTAGAAGGCCTGGCCAGGCTGTGTTAGCCYCCTTCCTGTATCATGGTCTGCCTTGAGTTGACCCTTTCATTTTGTGTGGGGGAAGGGGTACTGGGCGTTGAAACCAAGGGGACTCTACCACTAAGCTATATCCCCACCTTTTTTTTTTTTTCTTCTTCTTCTTCTTGTTCTTCGGCATTGGGGATAGAATGCAGGGCCTTGTACCTGCTAGGGAAGTGCTCTACTACTAAGCTACATCCCCAGCTGCTTAGGGGTTTTGATAAATAATGCATAATTAGCACAGGAAAATGTTTGCCATGTCTAACAGGTAGTATTTGGCTGGGTTTTTCAGGATAGGAAGATGCCACCCAAGCGCATAGCTAAGAGAAGGTCAGCCCCAGAAGATGCCATCCCCAAAAGCAAGAAAGTAAAGGGTAAGTTGGCTGTGGCCTCTTCTTTCTGCTTGTGGATAGCCTCTTAGAACCCAAGGAACCTGGGACTGGGTTCCTTCCTCCCTGAAAGATGAAAGGCTTGGATGTCCAGGGACCCCACACCCAGCTGGAGGGTCTCCTATAGCTCATTGAAACTCATCCTCAAGGAAATAAAAACTGGGCTGACAGCCCAATGTGGTGGTGCACACCTGTGATTCCAGTGATTTGGGATGTTGAGGCAGGAGGATTGCAAGTTTAAGGCCAACCTAAAGCAATTTATTATACCCTCAGCAAGTTAGCAAGATCCTGTCTCAAAAAATAAAAAGAACTGGGGATATAGCTCAGTGGTAAAGTGCCCTTGGGTTAATCCTCAGTACACACATACAYACACACAATCAATCAGTCAATCTTAGAATTTTGCTCCAGGCAATAATGTATTTTGATCAGGACCACTGATTTCCATAGTAGGTTCAAGTCCTGCCACTTTCTAGATGTGTAACCATAGGCAAGTTAAAACTTGACTGAGCTTGGGTTACCCACTTCATAAAATGGAGATGAGAACATCACTGATCTCTGGGCTGTTGTTGTGAGGATTAAATGATTAAATGAGACAATGTCCTGGCAGCATTTGAGAGAGGAATCCCTGGTTTTCTTTTTTCTGAGATCCTAAAGTGGGGCAGGAACAGGAGAAAGCCACCCCCTGTCTGGGAAGAGGGTATGTGAACCCACACTCAGACAGTGTCTGTCTTTTGCAGACTCTCGTAACAAAGCAGTGAGGGCCACTGCCTCCCGCCGTGGTCCCAGCGCCCGCTCCTGCCAAGGTGCCTACAGGCTGAGCCCTCCTGACCAGAAAACCCACCCAGGTGGCTCCCTGCTCAGTGCACTCTCTGCGCAGCCCCCGTGGCCCTGGGGGCCATGGCCACGCACCTGGAGGAGAGGCTGGACGCTATTGGCTGTCTGGGGCTTCCGAGGCCTCCATTGGCTAGCAGAGGGCCTTGTGCCGCCCACTGGTGGGCACAAACCTCACTGCAGATGGTTCTGTGGCCTGCCTCTTCCTCTTCAACTGCCAGTGTGCTGCCCCATAGGGTTAGAGTGGTCAGTTTTCCTCTGAGAATATATCCAGAAGTTGAAAATCACAGCCTGGGGATGGAGGAGGGTTAGGGTAGAAGCTGGTGTCTGCTCCAATCCATGTAGTCTCCCTTGGTTTTAGTGCAGACTGCTAAATTGCCTTATGACTCTGGGAAGATTATTGAACCTCTTAGGTTGCTCTCTTCCCTTTTCTGTAACACAGGATCCTAAATATGGAAAATCTGCAGAGCAAGTCAAAGGTAGAGTAAGCAGTCAGTAAAGGGTAGACATTATCTGAGCCCCAGCTGTTAGCACTGTGACTTCTGACAGACAACCTAGGCTAATCAGGAAAACTATCTTGAGTCATCATGGTCCTCTTCCCCTCCTCACCAAGATTCATTTCACAGAATGAGGTCTCCTTGTTTCTATTTCCTTATTGTCACATTAATAATGTGCTCAGCTTTTAATCTTCACAGAAACTCTTTGAGATGATGAGGAAACTTAGTCTCAAGAATGTCATACTAATGACTTATTACAGAGCAGGGGCTTAAACCCAGGTTCAAGATTGATTCCTGATGCCAGAGTCCATGAAATGACCTCCCTCTCTCCTATCATCCTGCCCACTCAGGGGCTATCTTCTCCACCCCTCAGTCTCACACAGGTCCCACAACACAGAACCAGGCTTGGTGCTGACACTGGGCCAGGGCGACGTGGGCCAGCTGGGCCTAGGTGAGAATGTTATGGAGAGGAAGAAGCCTGCCCTGGTGCCCATTCCAGAGGATGTTGTGCAGGTTGAGGCTGGGGGCATGCACACCGTGTGTCTGAGCAAAAGTGGCCAGGTAGGCTGGGGGATTGGGCAGTGCCTGGGGTTGGGGGGATGGGCTAGGGTTGGGACAGGAGCTTTAAGCCATATACATTTCACTGTGGAGATGGAGCTGGCTAGCCAAGCAAGGAATGGCCTAAATGAGAGTGGATTGAGACCAGATCTTGCACTAATGGGGGCTTCCTGGGCATAGGTCTACTCCTTCGGCTGCAATGATGAAGGTGCCCTGGGAAGGGACACATCTGTGGAGGGCTCAGACATGGTCCCTGGGAAAGTGGACCTGCAAGAGAAGGTGATACAAGTGTCAGCAGGAGATAGCCACACAGCAGCTCTCACCGAAGATGGTCGTGTTTTCCTGTGGGGTTCATTCCGGGTAAGACTGGGTCTAGAAGACTGCATGGAAGTGAGGGTATAACTCAGTGGAAGAGAGCTTATCTAGCAAGCATGAGGTCCTGGGTTTGATCCCCAGCACCAAACAAACAAACAAACAAAAAAGACTGGCTAGGAGTGGTGGTGCATGCCTATAATCCCAGAGGCTCAGAAGGTTGAGATAGGAAGATTAAAAGTTCAGAGCCAGCCTCAGCAATTTAGTGAGTCCCTAAACAACTTAGCAAGACCCTGTCTCAAAAAAATAAAAGGGCTGGCTATATTGCTCAGTGACTAAGCACCCCTGGGTTCAGTCCCTGGTACCAAAAAAGTTATCTAACCTCCTTACCACCATTGTACTTGGGTTGAAAAAGGCAGGGCTGGGGCCCAGATCCAAATCTCTGGCTTCTTCTGGGCCTGTCCACAGTTCTAGCTCTTTCCTTGAATCTGATGTTATGAAGTGCATGTCCTGAGAAAGGAGTGGGTGAAAGATGCCTTTGGGTTGAGGCTGATATGGGAAATTGCTCTTGTCATCCCCTACCTGAACCTCTCTCTTCCCTTCCCAGCCCTCTTCCCTACTTTCCAGAGGCTTTGGGGGAATGAGGCAGGAATTGTCACATCACAGTGTTTCCAAGGCAAGGGAGTGTAGTTTAAAAAACAGTTTCAGCATTAAGATTGGTACCTTGGGGGACTGGGGATGTGGCTCAAGCGGTAGCATGCTCGCCTGGCATGCGTGCGGCCCGGGTTCGATCCTCAGCACCACATACAAACAATGATGTTGTTGTGTCCGCCAAAAACTAAAAAATAAATATTAAAAATTAAAAAAAAAAGATTGGTACCTTGGTATTTATTGTGAAGTCTCATAAAAAAATAAGGAATCCGATGAGTGTTTCCTCATCAAGGTTATTTTAAAATTTTTATGGAGGATTTCTTAAGAGTGATTAGAATTATATATTGAACACCAAGCTACTTGATATCAAGTTTCAACAGTTATCAACTTTTTAGCCAGACATATTTATTTCTACTCATCTATTCCTTTGTTATTATAATGCAAATTCCAGATCATGTATGATTTCATTCATAAATATTTCAGGATGCGGCCTGGCTCCTGTCTGCTCTTTATCCCTTCTGCTACTACTTACTACACTTCACCAGATAGCTCTGTGGCCTCCTAAAAGCCTGAATGTGGCTGCTACAGGGCAGGCAGGACTAGCTAATAAGTGCTCTCTTCTTCCCTTCTAGGACAATAATGGTGTGATTGGGTTGTTGGAGCCCATGAAGAAGAGCATGGTGCCTTTGCAAGTGCAGCTGGACACACCAGTGGTAAAGGTAGCCTCAGGTGGGTCTAGGAGTATTCACTGTAGGCAGGAGCTAAAGGACCTTCTTCTGGGGCTGGATCAGCCTTGGTCCTAACAGATAAGCCATGCATCCTCCACCTTCCTCTCATCTTCAGGAAATGACCACTTGGTGATGCTGACAACTGATGGTGACCTCTACACCTTGGGCTGCGGGGAGCAGGGCCAGCTAGGCCGAGTACCTGAGTTATTTTCCAACCGTGGTGGTCGGCAGGGCCTYGGTAAGTAGTGTCAGTACATCTAGTGGGGTAACTTGGCAAACCAACCCCTGTGGTGACTAAAAGCAGGAGGGAGTCTTGAGCTTCAGACTTGCATGAAATAGACTTGTAGTGTTAAGATCTCACACTTTAAAAACTTGGTTGGGGATATAGCTAAGTTGGTAGAGTACTTGCCTTGCATACACATAGACCCTGGGTTCAATCTCCAGCGCACCCCCCACCCCACCCCCRAAAATAAATAAATAAATAATAAAAACTCAAACTTGAGTGAGGTGTGGTGGCACACACATATATTCCTAACTACTTCAGAGGCTGAGGCAGGAAGATCACAAGTTCAAAGCCAGTCTTGGCAATTTGGCAAGACCCTATTTCAAAGTTTTTTTTAAAAAATAGGGCTGAGGGGGCTGGGACTGTAGCTCAGTGGTAGAGCATTTGCCTAGCATGGGTGAGGCACTGGGTTCGATCCTCAGCACCACATAAAAATAAATTAATAAAATAAAGGTCCATCTACAACTAAAAAAATATTTAAAAAATAAAATAAAATAAAAATAGGGCTGAGGGGGGCTGGCGTTGTGGCTCAGTGGTAGAGCATTTGCCAAGCATGTGCAAGGCCCTGGGTTCCATCTTCAGCACCATTTAAAAATAGATAAAATATTTTTTTTTTTAAAGGGGGCTGAGGGCTTCAGTTGTGGCTCAATGGTAGAGCACTTGCCTGGCATGTGTGAGGCCCTGGGTTCAATCCTCAGCACCACATATAAAGAAAGGAAGGAAGGAAGGAGGGAGGGAGGGAGGGAGGGAGGGAGGAAGGAAGGAAGGGAAAAGAAAAGAAAAGAAAGAAAGAAAATGAAAGATCCATTTACAACTAAAAAAATATTAAAAAAAAAAAAATGGGGCCACGGGCTGGGGTTGTAGCTCAGTGGAAGAATGTTGCCTCGCACGCGTGAGGCCCTGGGTTCAATCCCCAGCACCACATAAAAATAAACAAATAAGATATTGTGTCCATCTACAACTAAAAAAAAATATTTTTAAAAAAATGGAGTTGGGTATATAGTTTGGTGGTAGAGCACCTGCATATCTGCTTATCATGTGCAAGGCCCTGGGTTCATTCCMTAATATTGACCAAAAAGGGTGGGGGAGGGGTTCAAACTTTGGACACTGATGGCTACCCTGGGTATGGGAAGATTTTTTTGTTTGTTTTTGGTGCTAGGGATTGAACCTAGGGTTGTTTGTACTTTACCACTAAGCTATATCTCGAGCCCTTTTTATATTTTTGAGACAGGGTCTCACTAAGTTGCTTAGGGTCTTGGTAAGTTGCTGAGGTTGGTCTTGAACTTGCAGGCCTCTTACTTCAGCCTCCTGAGTTGCTGAGATTACAGGTATGTGCCACCATGCCCAGCTACCATGAGTTTGAATCCTGTTCTGTTATCTTCTAGCTATGGGACCTGCGCCATATAGTTTCCTTGTCTCTAAACCTGTCTTTAACCTTACTTCATTGTGTTGCGTGAAGATAGATAAGTTAATTAGAAAAATATCTGGCACATCGTAAGTTCCACATAAACATTACCTCTAATACTATGGGAATCCGAGCATAGCATTTACACTGGCTTTAGTATCCTCTTCTGTAAAATAAGGTTTAGAGTTCCTGCTTAGCCTCCTCCCAACGGTTTTCAAAACATAAGAGAAACAGGCCCAGGATCAGAGAAGAAAAAGGCCATGTGCTTCTGTCACTGACCCTGGCTGCTTTACCTACAGAACGACTCTTGGTCCCCAAGTGTGTGATGCTGAAATCTAGGGGAGCCCGGGGCCATGTGAGGTTCCAGGATGCCTTCTGTGGTGCCTATTTCACTTTTGCCATCTCCCAAGACGGCCACATATATGGCTTTGGCCTTTCCAACTACCATCAACTTGGTGAGTCTGAATGCAGCATAGCATAGGGGTGGCCCAATGACCTGGTTCCAGTCYTGGCTCTGTCACTTATTCACTGTGCACCCTTTGTAGAGTTCCTTAATTCCCCAGAGCCACAGTTGTGTCTGTAAAGTGAGAATATTCATATCCTGGTGAGGGTGGCCTTGCTATGGGATGGGATTGATAAAACATCTCCTGAAACACCTTTACCCCTGATGGCAGGAACACCAGGCACAGAATCTTGCTTCATACCCCAGAACTTGACATGCTTCAAGAATTCCACCAAATCCTGGGTGTGCTTCTCTGGTGGCCAGCACCATACAGTCTGTCTGGATTCAGAAGGTAGGACCTCCAAGTCCTCTATGTTAGAGACAAACTAGGCCTATCCAGACCAGGGCCGGTTCTACAGTTTGGGCCAGACATGGGTCCATAAAGGTCACCCTTGTCCTCCAGAGTCCTGGTGCTTCCAAGTACAAGTTCATTGGAGGCCTATTTGAAGATTCTCCTAGGACTCACCCAAAATGGGGACACTACATACCTCCTTCTGACCATGCTGAGAGTGGGGACAGGCTCCTGAGGATATGAGGACTCACCTGGCCTGCTGCCTGTTTTGCCCAGAGAATGTCCTCTGCTACTGCTTATCTCTCTCCCTCTTCCCACAGGAAAAGCATACAGCCTGGGCCGGGCTGAGTATGGGCGGCTTGGCCTTGGGGAGGGTGCAGAGGAGAAGAGCATACCCACCCTCATCTCCAGGCTGCCCACCGTCGTCTCAGTGGCCTGTGGGGCCTCTGTGGGGTATGCCGTGACCAAGGATGGTGAGTGGGGCTCCCCACACCTCATCTGGTTGGGGCCTGTGGGTTGTGATTCTTATCATACTCTCTAGCAGGCTGTCTACCATCATGCTGGAATTGAGATGTAGAAATTGGTCTTTGCTCCTGACCCTCAGAAACTCTCTGATTTGATGAATATAAATGAGTAAACAGATTATTTGAGACTGGGTCTCACTGTGTTGCCCATGGTRGTCTGAAACTCCTGGGCCCAAATGATCCCCCACCTCAGCCTCCTGAGTGCAAGAACTTCAGGCACATGTGCATGCCACATTACCTGCTGGCTAGAAGTGATTAGTTCTGCAGAGGAGAAAAATAAAGAGGAGATATCATTGAGACCCAGAGTCCCACCTTCCCATGGAGTTATACTTAAGAATCTTAGGGGAAAACAGGCTGAGTAGTCAGGGTCCTGGCCAGCATAGGAGAGGAGGATGTCAACAAGGATGTCAAAGCCTAAAGGGGTGATGGGGCACAATAAGGGAGAGCTGCTAGAAGGCTGGCTGGCAAGCCGGTTGTGGTGGTGCCCGCCTGTAATCCCAGCGACTCAAAAGGCTGAGGCAGGAGAATCACAAGTTAGAGGCCAGCCTCAGCAAATTAGTGTGGTCCTAAGCAATTTAGCCAAGGCCTTGTCTCAAAAAATAAAAAGGGCTGGGATGTGGCTCAGTGGTAAAGGGCCCCTGGGTTCAATCCCCAATACCCCAAAAAAGAAAAATGAAGTCAGCAGAAATGCTTGATCTGAGACTGGGAAGACCTCTGAGGAAGTGAGGGCTTGCACTGTACCCCAAAGGTTTTATTCTTCAAGGAAAGTACAGGAAGGCATTCCCAGCTGGGTAACTTCCATAGCAGTCTCAATGACAATTGGTCCTGAGAATGGAGGGTGGATGCAGGGATTTAGGAAGCAGCCAGTCATTTAGGGCCTGGGAACAGGAAGAAGTCTTTACATTATCTTCTTGACTTCTCCCAACTTCCCTGAACTCCCAGAGACAGGACCTTATCTGGCTGCTGTTGGCCAAGGCCAGAATTCACCCTCATGTCCCAGGTTTTGCAGTGTGGAAAGGTGTAGCCAGAAATCCTGGAGACAGCTGCCTCCATTTCTTTCCCCCTACAGGTCGTGTTTTTGCCTGGGGTATGGGCACCAACTATCAGCTGGGTACAGGGCAGGATGAGGACGCCTGGAGCCCTGTGGAGATGACTGGCAAACAGCTGGAGAACCGCGTGGTGTTGTCTGTGTCCAGCGGGGGCCAGCATACAGTCCTATTAGTCAAGGACAAGGAACAGAGCTGATGAAGCCTCTGAGGGCCTGGCTCCTTCCCCTGCCCTCCCTTATAGAACAGGGAAGCAGAGACAACTACAGATTCCAGCAGGCCTCTCCCCAGCCCTGAGCACTGTCGGTCTCCTGCCATTTTTCCATCAGCAGAGCAGAATCCTTTTCTCTCTTTCCTCCTCTTTTCTGGAATCATCCTGGGACCTGCAGGATAAAAGGGGAGGGAGATGGGAGGGTCTGTCAGAAGGAACATTGCTCATCCCAGACTATGTAGTCAGACCTTTCCTTCTACTTCCCTACCCTCTGGTGGTCCTGGCTGGCCCTGACTTTGCCTACAAAAAAACAAAACTTCTTCCCCTGGTACCTGCACTTTGAGAAGTTGGGCTTTATCAAGCCCCATTCTGGTCTTGTGTTTCTAACAGTCCCCAGGCAAACAGATGGTACAGTCATCATACCCAGTTGTCATGGAGCCATATCTGGGGGAATTTGGAGGAAACAGGACCTGTGCACAACCCCAAGCCAAATATTTGGCTCTAAACAGGTGTCCGAATGAGCCACTTGATGAAGAAAAAGCCAAAAGCTATTCTCCCAGAAGCACAAAGCATACTCTTGTCTCTCAGGCATTGCCTGTGGATTCCCCCATTTGTTGGGCCGCACCTGCAACCAAGGACATGAAAGCTGGGCTGGGCTGGGCTGGGCAGGGCTGGGCCAAGCTGGGCCAAGCATGGGGTAGATGAAAGGTTTTATGAACAGCAATATTGGGAGGAAGAGAGGGGAAGGAGTTGGAAGGGCAAAGGCTGGTCCTCAGAAAAGGAAGCAGCAACTTGTACAGTGGCTGTGAAAATAGTTTTGGATTTTTTTTTTAATTATAAAATATTTTGGAGGGGAGAGTGGAAATCTTGTAACACTTTGAATAAATTTAAAGTTTTATAAAACAGGTCACTTGTTTTCAATACACACCCTATTCTTTTAAGGGACTACCTGCCATGTTCCAGGTACTTTTGGGAAGGGCAAAATAAGCCCAGGCCTGTGAACTTGGTGTCAAGGTTATAGCTTAAAGGATGTCAAGATGTCCCAAGGTTCCCCGCTTCTCCGGGGCAATTAGAGTCTATCAAAAAGAAGAAAATGGTTGTTTGGGTGTTTATGTTTCAGGAATCACTGGAGGGTTTTTTGTTTGGTTTGGTTTTTGTTTTTTATGATGCTGCAGAACTGAGAAATGGGATAAATCTTTGAATTCTCTAATCCCAAGTCAAGTTTTTTTTTTCCTTTTTTTTTTAATTAAATGAAATTATACAATGGATGGAGAGATACTATTTTTTTTTTTTTAAAGAGAGAGTGAGAGAGAGAGAGAGAAAGAATTTTTAATATTTATTTTTTAGTTCTCGGCAGACACATCACCAGCCCACTATTTTTTTTTAGAGAGAGAATTTTTTTTTAATATTTATTTTTTAGGGCTGGGGATGTGGCTCAAGCAGTAGCACGCTCGCCTGGCATGCGTGCGGCCCGGGTTCGATCCTCAGTACCACATACCAACAAAGATGTTGTGTCCGCCGAGAACTAAAAAAATAAATAAATAAATATTTAAAAAATTCTCTCTCCTCTCTCACTCTCTCTTTAAAAATATATATATATTTATTTTTTAGTTTTCTTACTTTTTGACTAGTGTTATTTATTTTGTCATAAGTAAGCCACATCTCATGTTAACTTGAGATTAATTCAGTAATTGCAGTCAATTTAGAACTTTGTTTTAGAATATTTTGCCTTAAATATGTTTATTCTTTTACCCCCAACATTTTCTGTGTATTATATGAGCCTAACAGGTCAATAATACAGGTTTTTCCCACTCTCCATGAGTAATGTCTTTTTTTTTTTAACCTTGATTTTATTTATTTATTTTTATGTGGTGCTGAGAATCGAACCCAGTGTCTTGTACGTGCTAAGTGAGTGCTCAACCACTGAGCCATAACCCTCGCCTGAGTAGTTTGTAATTCTGTAACAAATAAGAAATTATTTCCATTATTTAAGGTAGGGAAAATTGGACTATATAACACGTTTACTCTTAATTTTAGCTTCTTTAGAAGTAGATAAAAAAACAACATAGTGCCCACATTTAAGAAATAAACCTGAAGAAAAAATATCTAACAAGGTCTATGATATCCAGAGAATTTATTTGTGTGACTTCCATGTTCTCCTTAGCATCAACAGTGTCACTGTGGTTCATTTGATTGGTGTTCATGAAAGCTTCTACAAATGATTATGAAGTTTAATTCTTTCTCCCCTACTAACTAATATATTAAAATATTGTGAAGTCCGGAAGATCAGAGGTATCAACATTTGATATATGACAAATCACCAAATTTTTACTGGGTTAAAAAAAGTCATTCTACATGACTATAAGGGAGCATTTTGGACTGGGTTTAGCTGAGCAATGCCTATGTTGAAGACATCTCGAAATGCTTACAGAGTTACCTGTATTGTTTTCAATAGTTGATGTATTTATTTAAACATGGTACAGTATCTTAAGATAATTTATGTATATTAAAGAAAACTTTCATAAGCATTTGAGCAACCATGTCAGAACTGATTCCCTCAATATAGTGGTCACCATTTAGGTGTTCCTATTTACATTTAAATCAATTTTTAAAATTTAAAATAATGTTTTTTCAGTTATACAAACCATTGATTATCAAGTACTTGATAAATCACATGTGGCTTGCGTCTATGGTATTATGAAAAGAACATTTCTATCATGGCAGAAAGTTAACAATGGACACTGGCTTGTTATGGACAGAGTCTATGTTAGGAAGCTTATACTACCAAACAGATTCTTGGATGTTTGGTTTGGGTTTTGAGTTTTGGTTCTGGGGATTGATCACAGGTGCCAGGGGCAATTAGAATCTATCATCCTTTTATTTTTTGAGAGGGACTTGCTCAGTTGCTGAAGTTGGCCTTGAACTTGTGATCCTCCTGCCTCAGCTTCCTGAGTCACTGGAATTACAGGCATGCACCACTGCCCTTGGCGAGATTTTTGGATATTGATGATTCTTAGAAAAAAATGAATATGAGGACTGGGGCTATAGCTCAGTGGCAGAGTGCTTGCCTTGCACATGTGGGGCACTGGGTTCGATCCTCAGCACAACATAAAAATAAACAAATTAAAGGCACGCTGCTGTCTATAACTACAAAAACAAATTTTAAAAGAAAAAAATGTGAGCTGGGTACATACTAGGCAAGCACTCAACCACTGAAATAGGTTCTCACCAAGTTGCCTGGAGTGAACTTGACCTTGCCAGTTTTCCTGCCTCAGCCTCCAGAGTAAGTGGATTATGGGTATGCACCACCACACCTAGCTAGCTACAATACCACATTCTTTTGTTTTTTTCCCTTGTTTGTATTAGTGAATTGTACATAGTGGGATTTGTTATGTATTTTTTTTTTAGAGAATTTTTTAATATTTATTTTTTAGTTATCGGCGGATACAACATCTTTGTTGGTATGTGGTGCTGAGGATCAATCCCGGGCCGCACGCATGCCAGGCGAGCGCACAACCACTTGAGCCACATCTCCAGCCCCTGTTATGTATTTTTATATGCATATAATATAATTTGACCAATATCATTCTCCAGTATATCCCCTTTCCCTTCCCTCCTCCCTCCCTCTGGTCCATTTCCTTTCTTGATCTCTTTAATTTTTGAGATTCTCCCCCCACCCTCATACACACACCTTTCTTCTATCTTTTCCTGTCTAGCTTTCACATATGAGAGAAAACATAGGGTCCTTTCTGAGTTTCTCTTATATCTCTTAATGTTCTCAAATTCCCCCCATTTCCTTATTTTTTTTTTGAGGGGGAGGTACAGAAGATTGAACCCCAAAGCACTTTACCACTGAGCTATATCCCCAGGCTTTTTTAAATTTTTGAGATAGGATCTTGCTGAGTTACTTAGGGCCTCCCTAATTTGCTGAGACTGGCCTTGAA